CCGGCCCGTTGCAAGTATGGTTTTGGTGGCAGTCACACTCTTTTTTAAAAACCCAAAAGGAGACGAGGACCAACAGACGGGTCTAGCGTTTTATGTAAAAGGAAGATATCAATAAGAAGGAAACTGGATACTACTTACCGAGGTTCATGTTTGGCTCTACTCCGTCTAAACGTGGAGATGCTCTGTTCGGTATTTTGAAAAATACTGATTTTCCAACTCACCTGATTCCTTAAGTAGACTTGCATAGTAAGTTTTCTGGCTTTTTTCATATGTTCATTGATCTCATCCTTATTGATAATAATGAAATTTGAGACAAAAAGAGCAACGACAAGAATTCCAGCAAGTGTATTTGACTGTTTTAATACCAGCTGAAAATGATATGTCGAAGATTTTGAAATTCAAAATATCACATTTCGTAGCTATGTTTGATGATTGCTACCACTAGTAAAGACAGAAATACAGCTGCAGTTAGAACCCAAAAGTTTCTATCGTACGTCAATTTCACATAGGCATAAATTGGCCAATGAATTAGGCACATGGCAAAGGATATATCCCCGATGTATATTAACAATCGAGAGTTTTCCACATCGAATACAATCAAAAAACCAGTGAATAATGAGATAAACACTGAAACAATGTTAATACGCTCTAACGTTTTTTAAAAATATGTTTTACCTTGCTCCAAGCGGAGTCAATTCTCTAGGGGCTAGCACTATAATAAGTGATAAGATTAGATTAAATTTTGAGTTTTTTAACTAAATAAAATTGGATGCCCGGAGTTCCTCAGACCAGAGCTTAGAAAATCATATACGAGAATTTAGAAATTCCACCACCATTACAGAAGAATTATCAAACAAGTATTTCTGGTACTCTTGTCTCTCCATCTGATCAGTAAAACTGTAAAGTGAAAATGAGAAGAGGAAAAATGACTTCAGAAAGGAATGCATATGATAAAATAAGTTAAAACAAGGGAATGCAGCACTTTAAGACAGTTTGGGGATTTCGCCAACCATGACACTATCACCATTATAAAAACCCACTTACTCATTGAAACTCAAGTTTATTATTAAAACCCCCGTGTATTTTTCAAATCCCGTCCATCATTTGAACTTCTCGTCTATTGTTTAAACCTCCGTTGATTCATGAAGAGCCAATTTTACTGACTTCCGCACATCAAATGAAATATCCTGAAAAAATGACGACTGCGCAAATATTATATTGGTTAATGTGACTCAGAACACGGTTTCGTTGTTTATAATTTGAAACAACCAAAACGGATTTTGTTCTTTTGATTCTATTTTTTTCTGTGTATTGTTGCGAGTCGTAGGATATATTATTTTTCCCGGTCTCAAACATTAATTATAAGTGAAAAT